ACACTCACAGTATATCTATCTAGGAAAATTGTGTTTGTGAGCAGTTTTTCACCAGCCCTCACAAATTTTGTTTTTTTCAAAAATGAAGATAAGACCGTTTCACTGACTCTTGCCTGTCCGAAAAATGTTGTAGTGTGCGGCATCGCACAGTAGCTGATGAACACACTATAATGCAGATCGTGAATGATGTCCGAAGTGTTTTTTATCAATGTCATGTTTTACGCTTGCATTCTCGGTTTCAAATTTGTAAAATGTTGATAAATTATTGCGTGATATCCTTCAGGTAAAACTGTAATGTAGGCTATTTGCTCATTAATTCTATAAATAATGAAAGTGTCAATGACACTATAGCTCACCTTGGTTGTGTTAGAAGAGGGAGATGATATTTAAAATTTGGTAAGTGTTTCATTTATGACGGACCGAAATGTGATCAAATGTCCTTACTCCCCGTTTTATACTAATAGAAATTTCACTGTTTTGTTTCAGGGTCAGTTCTGATGTGGAAATATATGTTTCAGATCTGAAAGTCTAAAATTTGGGCGAGAAATGGCGCTACGCCTAAATGATCGCCATTTTGGTTTTCAATTATTGGGCAAATAAAAGCAATAAACCATTCCAGTCAAATTATTGTAACAAAGAATCTAAAACACAATATTACATGTAGATATGATTAGGTAGGTAGATAGGTAGGTAAATTTAACAAAATCAAATGAATCTAGATGGCCATTTTCATTTTTGCCAAAAAGTGGGCGTGGCTCGAAAGTAGGTCGACTGGCGTGCTCCAAAATAGGATGTTCAAATCTCTCTCATAGGAGTAACAACTGTATGCAATTTGAAACATGTGGGTCAAACGATTCTTGAGTTATCGTTGACCGTAGGCAGACACAGAAATGCATAGTGAAATTGTTAAAATCTACCTAATTTGCATAATTTAAAAGAAATATAAAAACTCCTGTGATATGTTTTGAGGCCAGTCCTTATTCATTCACATACCAAAAATAAGTAAAATCCGTTGAACCTGAACCGACTTATGGCCATTTTCATTTTTGCCAAAAAGTGGGCGTGGCTCAAAAGTAGGTCGACTGGCGTGCTCCAAAATAGGATGTTCAAATCTCTCCCATAGGAGTAACAACTGCATGCAATTTGAAACATGTGGGTCACACCTGAACCGTAGTAGACTAGCGTGCTCCAAAATAGGACATTCAAATCCCTCCCATAAGAGTAACAACTATATGCAATTTGAAACGTGTGAGTCAAATAAAACGGTTTTTGAGTTATCGGTGACCGTAGGCAGACACTGAAATCAGGAGTCTATCAAGTTATCGTTGACCGTAAACAAATGTTGACGGACGGACAGACGTACGACGGATGACACACCATGGCAATAGCTCATCTTGACGATGTCAATGTGAGCTAAAAATGTAGGTACTTGCTAACATGGCTGAAACCACTGGCTCGGAGGGCTAGTGTTTTGCCAATGTTACTAGCCCTCCAAATAATTTGGCGGCATATGCCGGTGGGCCGGTGCTAATTTTGCGCCCTGAT